GAGAGAGAGAGAGAGTCTCTCTCTCTCTCTCTGTGCATGTGTGTGTCCGTTTACGCCAAAAGGATGTGTAACACAAACTAAACACACACACACACACACACCACATACATATGTGTATGTACATACACATATACATTGCACTATCGGGGCCATGTATTCAAAACTGTGTTCGGGAGTTGCCCCGGAGGCAAGAAGTATTACTCTATATCGAGACCCCTACAGTCGAGAATGGGCCATGGTTCCGGGGTTAGCAGTGAAAGGCAAGCGTGTATATATATATATATGTATATACAGATATATATATATATATAGCTGGGAGGATGGGCCATGTTTCGGGGGGTTAGCAGTTAAAGGCAAGCGTGTGTATATATATATATATATGGCTGGAAGGATTGCGAGATAGATTGGAGCTGCACCAATGAGTGCTTTCGTGCTTCAAGGCTTCAGGGTATCACGCCTCAAGGTTGCAGGTTGAGGCTTTGCGTTGCTTCTTAATGCTGTGTCCCTGCCCGGACCTGGGACATAGGGGTACCAGCGGATTCTGGCAAGTTCATCGAGTTTGCTTCTGCTAAGTGGAAAGGCCGGGAACCAGGAGCTAACCTCTCAGCTCCAAGGAACTCCTGCAATCGCGGTGAGATCCTCGGGGGCTTCTTCGGGGCAACCTGGCACGTCTGAGACACAATTTGGCGAAGATTCGCTAGCAGGGGTGGGGTGGTGCAGCATTCAATGCAATGTGGGTAGATCTCGAGTCAAGGACTCTCAAACAAAGCAGCAATACGTCTCTCAACAGGAGAATTCCAGGCCTGTTCAAGCTTTTCCGGCTTCTGTTCGTCCTCGGAGGCGTCTTCTTCGTCGTCCTTTGCAGAAAGGACGAAGGTTTTCCTCAAATGTTGTTTCATTGAATTTCTTGTGGAGCTGAGCCAAGCTGCATACGCTGCAGTTCTACGTTTAGGAGCCAATTCCCTGACTCCAGCGGGTGCCTACGAAGATTCCACGATGCTAGGGGCCTAGGTGTGGCTTTGCGGGGCTTCTCTGAACTTCAAGGCTTCCCTGATTCGACGGGCCGCCTGAGAAGCTTTCGATTCATAGGCTTAGAAGGACTGGTCCGCTTCCCATTTCCGTGTGCAAGTATGTCTAGCATATATAAATGTATACAGAAGCTCTACAGAGATGCACGTGTCTGCAGTTGTACAAATGCATACGCATGCACATGTATAATGCCTCTGCAACTTTGCAGAAAGGAGTTGCTTCATGGTGCATGATAACAGGCCATTGGCCTCACGAGCCCAAACCCTTTCAGCCACGCCGCCCAAAGGTCAAGGAACGCAATATCCTGCAACGTCACACTGTCCTGCGGGCAGAGCAATCAATCAGGACCTACTATAGCTTACAGGTTACGACATCAACAATCGGTAGCAACTGTGTTAACCCCGCCCCGCAAAAATCCTGAAATATACTCTCGAGATGGAGATATAGCCTTGCAAAGCAAGCCCCGGACTTCACTTGGCTAGGTCGGCCTGCAGGCCGCCACCACTGAGAGTGTTAAAAAGCGCTTTGCAGTCGCCGCGAAAGCCATACCTAGAGGCCAGATACAGTTGTGGGGCATATAATGCTATAACATAATAAGGAGCCCCCGAAATAGTATTGGTAATTTCTAAGTAATTGAAACAGATAGCTCTATGCTTGCCTTTGCACAAATGGAGGCAACGCAATGCCCGTAGGGCACGTGTTTCTGCACGCATCCTTGCACAAAAGAATGTGCGCAACGGACTCCACGGGACATGAGAGCCGTTGACAATCGGAACATTCCAACAGTAGAGGTCACAACCCTAGCGGCCCGAGACTCTCTCTCCCTCTCTCTCCGTGACTCAGTCCTAGACTCCAAACCCTAAACCCCTGCATCTGCTGTTATCTGGCGGGAAGAGGAGACTTTCCCAAACGACGGTCCAGGCCATTTTGTGGAGACGTATCTATTCTCTTGGGTACCCAAACGATTGAGGAACTGTCAGCCTTCTAGGGTTCTGGTGCAGAGCCCCAGGGCCTTCCAATTACACGGAGCCATTCCTAAATGCGATTTGCCTTGGGCCTTTAAAGGGGTATGGGCAATAGTTCTCTAAAGTAGGGTCCCTTTTAGGGTCCTTTTTAAAAGGGTGCCGTACTATATTGGGGACCTACAAGTAGCTTATCTGCACCAGCCACAGCGAACTTGACCTCAATGTTCTAAAAACCCAAATCCTGCCAACCTGCATCTGCCCAAACATCGAAGCCTTAGACCCAAGACTTTTTTTGGCATCATCCCGCGAGCAGAGGTAAGGAATGGCCGCCCCTTTCTGACCGGAGCCTTACACCCGAACCCTGAACCCTAAACCCTAAACCCTAAACCCTAAACCCTCAACCACAAAAGCGACAGATTTTTCGGACCCTAAGCAACCTGAAGGGGCCCTGAGTCCCAAAGCCAAAACAACCTGAACTCCCCGCTTTAGTATATTACCTAGAGTCTCCATTGTAGTTCCTTTTTGGGTTTAACCAAATATATGTGTAGGATTTTATAAGGTATCCCCCAAAAAGGAACTACAATGGAGACGATAGGTAGGCCTTCGGGGTTCGGCTGCTTTTCTGCAATGTCCGACCATGGCCTGCTCCTCTAACTATAAGTATAGCATAACCCATATACTTGTAGCTCCATAACCCTGGTCCCACTATTATAGAACCCATAATTCTAGCCCAAAACAGAACCCATAATTATAGCCCCATAACCCTGTGCCCATAATTGAAGTTCAGACCCCATAATTCTAGCCCCAAAACCCTGTTCCCATCATTCAGACGCCTACATGAACCAAGACATGGCCCTGGGTCGAGCTGCGAGCGGAGCATCTTCACGAACTCCCGCTGCGTGAAGCCGCCCGACTTGTCCTCCGCTCCAAGGCTTGTCACTAAATTCAGGTTGCTGCACAATTAAGAACCTTAGGGTACCCTAGCTTTCGGGCTGAGGTTGTTGTTTTTTGTTGGGTGGAAGTGGTTTCGTTGTGGGACGATCCGGCTGCATGTTGCGCAGGAAGGAAGCCTTCCTACGCAAAGCACAGTCCGATTCTCCGTTTTGGGTTGTTTTGGGTATATGAAATTAAACGGACGGTCCAGCTGCATTTTGCGTATGAATGGAGCCTTGGGAGAAACAGAGGTCCACTGCAGTACCTCCATCATAGCTCGGGGGTTTCGCGCGCAACTCATAACCCAACGTGCAGTGGGTCAAGCCCTGACTCGGGATAACGCGAATTAGTGTCAGACACTAACCCTAAAATGAAAAGCGACGGGATGTACATGGCTGGGCAGGGCAGGTAAGAGTAAGAGTAGATACCGTGGCCATTTTGGCTCAAGGTACACGCTGCATCTCGACGAGAACGCGATTAAGAACCTTAGCCTATCTTAACTACTCGGCCCGCAGAACCAGAGGTAATGGAACATATATAAGAACCTCAGGGTAGGCTACTCTCGTGGGATGGGGTTCTTATACAGAGATTTCACTGTGTATTAGATGCCCATCTGTGGCCCTGTTAAATGCAAGTGCACTATTCTACGGAACCGCAGGGATTTGCCAGTCTGCAAGTCTTCAAGTCTTCCGGCATCACAGAGGCCTGGGGGGGCCTGGGGGGTGCTTTTGGGGAAGGAGGCAGCGCTTTCTGGGTCGACCCTAGTGACCTTACTGCTTAGAAAAGCTTTTTGAGCAATTATGCTATAGCGTATTATAGAGCCTCAGTATAAAACTCGCAGTTGGTCCTCGTCCAAGATTTCGAACGCAGCCCGGACACCACCGAACTCCTCCGCAGTATTTCTGACATCTTCCGAAGCTCATAGTCATAAACATGAGCTGATGGTAACGGCGATGCAAACGACGCAGATGTGACGAAACTGAAAAGCGTCACGAAACCCTGAGGATGAAGATGATCATGGTGATGATAGCGGCGAGAAGGGCGTCCACATGTGTAGATGATGATCACGGAAGTATAGAAGTTGCGTGTCGCAATCTTGTTTGTCTTCGCAACCTGATGAAACGCTATCAGCATACCATTGCCATCACTATCGGCAACACCACCACTATGGACAAACACACCACCAATAAGATGCCCACCACTGTCAACATCACAGCCATCATCGACGACATGGATGCCATCTTCATCCTGATACTGCTCAACACCACCAACATCATCAACACCGCCAGCACCATCCTCATCACGAACATCATCATCTTGCTCGCTATCGTTGTCGTCGTCATCATCATCATACTCATCAGTAGCATCATCTTCGGCATCGCCCAAACCTCTGACAGCCCTTTGTGAACCTGAAACTAAACACCTGTAGACAGCAAATGCGGCACATAGAGTTCCATGCTTGCAACCCTTCAAGACCCCAAACTTGTTGACTTCTGGGACTTACGAAACACCTGCAGATTCTCTGCTGAAAACCTAATACAACCTCCGCGGGTCGGTGTGTTTAAAAAGGCGAGTGTCACTTTCGGCTGGACATTGCCAAAGGAACCTTATCACCACCACATAAGGCCTGATCTACTGACAAGATGTAAACGCTGAAGACCAACACCGACTCCTCGTCTGCCCAGGCTTTGAACTCTTCAAGGATCCTATAGGATCATGTGAGGTCTGAGGTCTACGGTATAATGACGTACAAAGGCCCACAGGATCTTCGGGTAAAAAATCACATCATGCTGGCTAGGCTTGTCGAGGCGCACAAGAATTGAATGCTTTATTGGGCCGGGCGGGCGGCTGGCCTGTAGTGCCGCAACCGCTAGAACAATATAGAACTGTCGGACCCCCAAATGCTCCATGACAGAGGCTCGCTCCACCATGCTACATGTACCAAGGAACCCCGGGGAGCTATTCGGAAAACACTGATACAGGCTATATACTGTTCTCCTCCCATCACGCATAAGATCCTATATTGCATTATAATCTCCTCAGTAAGAATCAAACGCAGTCCAACGCAGCCACTTTAAAACTGCCACATACATCTGGCGCTGCAGCACTTTACACGGAATATGCGGTTTAAAGGCCTGCACAAGCTTCGGGGACCAATACGCGAAATCCTCAGCTCGCAAGCCCTATGCCCCAAACTCCGAAACTCAGCATTCAAATCCGGATGCCTAACTCATGGACTGAAAACACACTCAAGCCCTTTCGAGGTGCAAAGCCAAGGAGCTCTGAAGCCAAGGGATCCAGCTCCCTCAGGGACATGCTGCCGGAGACATCCTAGCAGCAGTCGGGGGTTAGTTGGATTCTTGGCTGATGAGAGGCAGGCTCTTACAAGGCGAATTCGGGCGCCTGGTGACCACGTCTTCACGAACCTCCAGGTTTTGGGGCCTTAAGCTTTACGGCCTCGGGGGTTTTCGGGATTATGGTTACGGGAACCGGATCTCCTCATCAAAGCAGCGCCACGCCCCGGCGAGGTCGCCTTCGAAGTCGATCCGCTTCGCAGCGCTCCTCAGGGTGTTTAGGGACGTCGGACCCTATAATAGAGTATGTATAGCAGGAAAGGCAGCTGCAGTAGCTGGAGCAGTAGTAGTAGTAGTAGTAGTAGTAGTAGTAGTAGTAGTAGTAGTAGTAGTAGTAGTAGTAGTAGTAGTAGTAGTAGTAGTTAGTAGTAGTAGTAGTAGTAGTAGTAGTAGTAGTAGT